CTCAATTGCAATGAAGACCACTGTGTTCATTCTACTGGTTGTGGTTGTGGGTATGTAGATCTCTCTTATCAGTTATTCTGGTAGCACTTTATTTTGATAGTCCACTTTAGACATTCTACTAACTATAAGCAACTTTGCAACTATCAGTCATTAGTATTAGTAGACTGTCTGCTGCTAACACTTTATTTTGATAATCTTCCAACAGACTATATGTATCTTTGTGAGTAGTCAACTCATTCTACTAAATCTAACCCTAAGCTAACAGTCTACAAATATTCTAATATTTAGTTAGTTAGTTGCAAAGTTACTTATAATTAGTAGAATGTCTAGTGGACTATTGAAATAACATGACAATCGACAATTGTTAGTTTATACCTACACTGACCTGTATTATAGATAGTTTTTAACATTACGGTTAATAAAAGAACAATACGTTTTTATAAAGCTTTCAGCTCCGGAGATAAAATTATTGGAGGTTATGAATGTCAGCCCCACTCCCAGCCCTGGCAAGCTTACCTTATTGATAATCGTACCTCATGTGGAGGATCTTTGATTAATGAAAGATGGGTTGTGTCTGCTGCTCACTGCACATTCTCGTGAGTATATAACCTCACTTTTTTAATCATGTTACTTCATCAATCTAATTTTTCACTATAGAGTACCTTTCAGTTCCATTAACTAGTCTATTGAACACTGAGATCCAGCTCTACTTTGGAATATTTTAGTTTGAAATGTATTTGTACATTTATGAGTTGCTTGTCAAACAGACGTAATCGTCTCCGCATCCTGCTGGGAAAGCACAAATTGCGTGCTGCTGAAAACACAGAGCAGAGGATCAGAGTAGAGAAGATCATTCCTCACCCGAACTACAATGATCAGCCTAATAACAATGATATCCTGCTGATCAAGCTGAGAACACCTGCCACCTTCAACAAGTATGTGAAGCCAGTCCCTCTGGCAACCAAATGCTCCTCTGCAGGGGAGAAGTGCTTGGTTTCTGGATGGGGCAGAACTGAAGGTGAGATGGCTGAGTAATGAAAATCTTCTATATATACTTTAAAATAAAACTTATATTAAAACTTATTTTATTTTGTATTAAAATTTTCTATATATATTTTCTATATTAAAATAACTTTTAGTTAGCATCCTTTTTGACAAAAGATTCCGAGCTTGATGCATGATGGGGCCTCACATGCACTAACTCACACTGGGCCTCGCTCCATGCTTGCGTCAACCCTGCATGCAACCATTAGATCTGTAGACGATGAAAAGTTTTAACGCTGCTCATATTCTCTTTCCAGCTGGCTCTGCTTCTGTCCTGCAATGTTTGGATATGCCTGTACTCTCAAAGGCGCAGTGTAAGCGTGCGTATGGTACAATAATAACTAAAAACATGTTCTGTGCTGGATTCATGGAGGGAGGGAAAGACTCATGCCAGGTATGTAATTGATTTCTTCCTTTTTTTATATGTCTTTGAAATGTACATACAAATGCACGTTTTTCCTTTTCACTTTCCAATTTTCTTCTCAGGGGGATTCAGGTGGCCCTGTAGTGTGCAGAGGGAAACTGAAAGGTGTTGTTTCCTTTGGCAAAGGCTGCGCTGAACCAGACTTTCCTGGGGTTTATGTTGAGGTGTGCCGCTACACTAGCTGGATCAACTCCATCATAGCTAATAACTAACTGTTTATTCATTCTGGTTGGTCCTTTACAAGTTCATTTTTCTAAATATCTGTAATTAAGTCAAAGTTCCTTTAAGGCAAGTCATCTAACTTTGAAATGCCTCTCAGACAGCTACTTCAGTCATGCAAGTACAGCTCCTATCTATTTGAATGAGGAAACATCAAATTCTATAGCAGCCAGAGCTTCTAACAGCAGCTGCAGTGATGCAATGACTTTACCAATTAGTGATTGGCTCTTTTATTTAGAAAGCGGGACTATTCATTTTCCTTTTTCAATTTTCTTTTGCATTTTTGAGTGCACCATCTTTGTATATCTTAATCTTTGAATTAAATTCACTCTGAAATAAGTATGCGTTTCTGTCTTTTATTTTTATGTTTTAACGTTTTCTTTAACCATGGTTGCTCTAACACTATGTTGCTACAGCATCACCCTGGCATGGTACAATGAAGTACCACATCATGTGAGTGTGCAGAGTACTTCAGTGTATTGACAACAGGGCCATCTGCTGGCTTGTAAAATTTACAAAACTGCCTGAAGCCTGAAAAGTTTCATTAAATGAAATGTTGGGTTTAAATTAACCCAATTTGGGTTATTTTGTCATCCACTCATGGATCAAATATAGACGCCTTTTTATGGCGGGACAGAAACCTCTCATGTTTCATTAAAAAATATCTTAATATGTATTTTTAAGATTAACTAAAGTCTGATCAGTTTGGATCAACATGACAAAATTTTTAACAGAATTTTCAGTTTTGGGTGAAGTTTAACTTTAAGCATACATGGTAACGTTTTGCCAGTATAAATGGTTAGAAAGGTGCAGTGCCAGTATGATAAATAAATAAATAAAATAACATTATAGTACACTTGTGCCTGATAGAAGTAAAAACAGCAATTCCAACAATTCCACCTAGAAAACAGTAGAGGGAAACATTAAAGGGGTGGTTGATTGGGATTTCACTTTTTTAACCTTAGTCAGTGTGTAATGTTACTGTTTGAGCATAAACAATATCTGCAAAGTTACGAAGCTGAAAGTTCAATGAAAACGGAGATATCGTTTTTTAAAATTCTGGCAGTTTAATGCCTACAAAAACGGCTGGTAGGGACTACAACGAGTTACTTCCCAGGTTCGTGAAGTCACAAACCCAGATAAACCCCGCCCTCGGGAAAAGGCACCAAAAAGGAGGCGAGGCCATGCTGCGCTGCTTTAGAGAAGAGGAAGAGAAAACTATATTGTGACGAGTCGGCTGCCTCCCCCTAATTATCATCATCACCCCGTCCCATAATCGCCGCCCTTCGCCAGGTTCCCGACGGGAGTGGGTGTGTGAGAGAGGAGGGGCGCTGAAGTGTTCTAAAGCAACGGTTCTTGATACTGTTCCTCACGTCCCCTTGCTCTGCACACGCTCTGCATCTCTCTCTCTCACTCGCTCTCTCTCTCTCATTCAGCTCAGCTCCAACTGTTCCATTTATTAATTATAGTCATTTAGCAGACGCTTTTATCCAAAGCGACTTACAAATGAGGACAATAAAGCGCCTCTCCTCGGGAGACCGGTCTCTTCCCCGTGCATGCACGCTGGTGTCCTTGTGGGTCCAGGAGGGGTGCATAGAGGGATCTCCGTGCCGCCGACGATGCGAGCTACCGGACCCGCGGTCCGGACGAGGGCCGCACCTGTTCACGGCCGTCGGGCCAGGATGCCGGGCCGTCTAGCCCCTCCCCACACCGGGGCCAAGGCGAGAAGGATGCAGCCGCTGGACAAAGCCGCTGCCTCTCGCGTCGCGGACGGGAGAGAGGGGAGCGCGTGCGGCCGCCGGACTCCGCCCCTTACCTGGACCCCTCCTTCCTCAACACTGCCCTTCCCTGCACGAAGCCCGCAGCACGACGAGGACACCAGATTCCCTGTTTATTTTGGACACTAGTTACCCCTTTTCCCCTGGACACAGTAATGTTGCTATGATTTGGTCAATAAAAGCCTCTCCGAGGCCTGACGCCACACCCCCTGTGTCTGTCGTTTGCTCCTCCCGTGACAATATATTATATACACACACACATATACACACACACATATACACACACACATATACACACACACATATACACACACACATATACACACACACATATACACACACACATATACACACACACATATACACACACACATATACACACACACATATACACACACACACACAAAGAAAAACAAGTAGATAGAATAGAAAAAATAAAAATATAGAAAAAATGTATACACTTATTTTCACATAGCTATGAGAAGCATTTAACATGGACGCATGCAGTTGCCGTACTGTATTAAAGCTTTAATCAGGAAAAAAACATATATTAAAAGCTAACATAAGCAGTAGCATTTACAAATAACAGCATTTCTAAAAGTATGAGACAACAACAAACAAAAAACATAGGCCTACCATAAAAAGCCGTGCTTGCACAGGTTCTGCGTGATCCTCTTCAATAATATCCTCTGTTTCTCAATCGGGCTCAAACTGATAAGCTATATTAACGACGCCATTGTTTACAATCCAACCTGGAGCACATGCCGCTGAGGTGAGGGGCATGACGTTTAGACGCGCACTAGAGGCGGTTTAGCCAATCACAACACACTGGGCCAGCTAACCAATCAGAGTCCATCGCCTATTTCGGAGGGCGGGGCTTCATAAAAGCAGGAAATGATCAGCGTGTTTCTCAGAGAAGGGACAGAGCGGTGTTGAATAAAGGTAAATTATGTGAAAAATAATGCGTTTTTAAAAAAACGAAGCATTAACACTGCACCCCATAAACACAATCAAGCCTAGAAAAAAAAAAACAGTGAACCACCCCTTTAAGCAGATCAAATGTTTCTAGCCTCTTTAGGTTTGAGAGGGTCCTCTGGTGACTTAAAACAGAAATGTCAAAAGCCTATGACTCCTCTCCTCTCCTCTTCTATGCCATTCTCTGTTAATCTCTGCAGCAGGTCAAAAGGTGTGGAGATCAATCTGCATGATTTGGCTCTAAACATTTTGCATGACTATGTGCAGTTCAGAATTTTTGTTTTGCTCTTTTCACAGTTTTGCTTGAATGTCAGTTTAAAGCCAGTGTTGATTCCCCTCTTACTCGATTCGGCAAAGGTCAAAGTTAAGATCTGAATGGCCATTTGAAGACCGCATGAGTATTTTTGCTGCTGTTTCACTGATGAACTACTGGGCATTAGCTTTAACCAGCTTAAGCAGTACTATTTGTGAGTCTCTCTGCACAATGTCTGTCTCTGACTGGCTACTATTTCTGCTGGTGAAACTTCTCCAGGGTTAAAGCCCTAATGCTACGGTAAGGAGCTTATCGTTTGCCTCTCTCCCAGGCTCAATCCCTTTCTCCTAACTCTTAAGACTGCAGCCTGCAAGCACACACCTGATACAAACATATTTTGAAAGGTAAGTTTAAATAAATTGATTTTGCATTATAGTGTAAATCTGGAAAATACCATGAGTGCTTACAGGTGACTATGAAACAAAAGCAAGTCCTTTTACTGCTCTGTTTAGATAAACAGATTGAGTTAGTGACTGAGTGTATTTGAATGCAGTCAAATATAGAACATTACTGTACTCTGGTAACATTACAATTTATGTTATTGGTTGCAATTGTTATTGAAAGATTAATTGATGAGCATTAATTGGCCTATGTATTTCCATTTACAAAACTAAACATTTGTACTTTGAATTTTGAGTATTTGTATTTAATTATTTATTAGTTGGTATTGCATGGACTCAGCATGTCCTACTAGTTCATAACACTTGGATAAAACACTGACACCAAGATACTAAATGTTTTGTTTACCATTTTGTGCTAATTTTAACAGCTACTTTTTTGTCTGTATAAATGCACAAACCATGGCAAAAAACCCATTTAAAAACCCATGAAATGGTTTGACAAGATTTCTTACGCATTTTTGCATTTTCTGTTGAAACGGGATATTTGGTCAGGGCGTATAAGAGATTTTCAAATAGTCTTTTTTCAAATAGTGTTACATTCATGATTTGTGTGGTCTTTCAGTGTGTGTGGATTTTGGTTATTGTGAATACAATTTTTTTTTTTCTCCTCATGGAAACAAAAGCAAGTCCTTTTACTGCTCTGTTTAGATAAACAGATTGAGTTAGTGACTGAGTGTATTTGAATGCAGTCAAATATAGAACATTACTGTACTCTGGTAACATTACAATTTATGTTATTGGTTGCAATTGTTATTGAAAGATTAATTGATGAGCATTAATTGGCCTATGTATTTCCATTTACAAAACTAAACATTTGTACTTTGAATTTTGAGTATTTGTATTTAATTATTTATTAGTTGGTATTGCATGGACTCAGCATTTCCTACAAGTTCATAACACTTGGATAAAACACTGACACCAAGATACTAAATGTTTTGTTTACCATTTTGTGCTCATTTTAACAGCTACTTTTTTGTCTGTATAAATGCACAAACCATGGCAAAAAAAAACATTTAAAAACCCATGAAATGGTTTGACAAGATTTCTTACGCATTTTTGCATTTTCTGTTGAAACGGGATATTTGGTCAGGGCGTATAAGAGATTTTCAAATAGTCTTTTTTCAAATAGTGTTACATTCATGATTTGTGTGGTCTTTCAGTGTGTGTGGATTTTGGTTATTGTGAATACAATTTTTTTTTTCTCCTCATGTGTCCAGGTCCAGTCTCAACCAGACGCAAAGATGTGCGACCAGACGTTTTTGGCCATCACGTTTGGCCCGTGTGATAACTGCAGTCAGAACAAACCTCTGATGAATATTTATCTGAAGAATGAGCCCATCAACTACTGCTCCCTGTGTGTGGAGCTGGTATGTTATCCCACATTTTAGCTGCTTCAGGATCAGTTCAACGACACAATGTGTATTTTAAGGCTTTAATCTCTCAGGACATGATTTCTGTCCATCAAATCCGCCATCATTGTTTTAATTACTTATTTAGTGTTTAAAAAAAAAAGTTGTATCCAAACTGATAACATTACATGAATACTTCTGAGTATAGATATATAACAAAAACACTCATGAAATGCCACCTTATACCACACACAGACCTCAACAATTTTTTGTTTTGGGTGGTCTGAAAGATCATGAAACACAGCAATTATATTTTTAAGTATAGAACCAAGCACATCCTGCCATCACAAGACAGTAAGTACTAAAAGTGATACCAAAATCAACAACAAGAATGTAAATGAAAATAAGAAGAGTGTGATTTGGGACAGAAACACATAATTATTTTGCCCAATTTAGGCCTATTTGAATTATAAAAAGGCATTTTGCAAACTTTTTGGATGGTTTTAAAAGTCGTTCTTTGTTTTAAAAAAGTGCATCGATATGCATTAGCCTACTGCTGTTGAAAGATGTTAATTTTTCTCACCACGTTTATGGAATGTAAATGCTCTTAATAATCTTGATTTATTTTATCTGAACATTAACATTTGTGAGATTCATCCACCCGGACAGTTTTGAGGTCAAATTATTATTATTATTTTGATTTGATTTGATTTTTTTTTCTGTCTTTTCATTTGATAATACTGATCTGTGAATGTATTTTATGTTGGATTTTATTATTTGTATTATTATTATTTGTTAATGGGGGATTTGTGGATGCAAATTAATAAAAAAAAAATTATAGTAACTTGCTTTTTTGTTTGTTTTGAAAGTAAATCTCGAAGAAAATATTTTATTATTTATTTAATCTTTAAGTTGTCTTTAAATTGTCACTTATTAAAAACCGTCACACTGACTAACGGTGATATTTTTGTCCTGTTGATTTAATGGCTCAGAGTTTTGTCTCAGAGGTGTCAGATACTGCAAAACACATCCTCATGTCATCACTTACACAGAACACTTCTGTAAAGTGCTTTATCTGTGAGCTTTCTGAAAACACATTTAGGCTCTTAGAGAACAGCACGCTTATGTAGTACTTACTTGTATTTATATTGTAGTCACAAAAGTTACCAATGAAATACCAATTAATTTACAAACAGCGAACGCAATAAATGAATAAGAAGTTAGGCAACATTTATAGTAACTTGCTTTTTTGTTTGTTTTGAAAGTAAATCTCGAAGAAAATATTTTATTATTTATTTAATCTTTAAGTTGTCTTTAAATTGTCACTTATTAAAAACCGTCACACTGACTAACGGTGATATTTTTGTCCTGTTGATTTAATGGCTCAGAGTTTTGTCTCAGAGGTGTCAGATACTGCAAAACACATCCTCATGTCATCACTTACACAGAACACATCTGTAAAGTGCTTTATCTGTGAGCTTTCTGAAAACACATTTAGGCTCTTAGAGAACAGCACGCTTATGTAGTACTTACTTGTATTTATATTGTAGTCACAAAAGTTACCAATGAAATACCAATTAATTTACAAACAGCGAACGCAATAAATGAATTAGAAGTTAGGCAACATCAAATTTGCAACTGACAGTTTAAATGTAAAAAAAATATGATGGAAGCTAAAAGATTTTAAAGAGTGAATGAAATGATATAAATCGGATATAAATGTGATTTTGGGCTTCAGGCAGTGAGCTCCAGAAATAAATGTGATGCTGATGGTGGTGATGTGTCACGTGACGCTTGCGCAGAGCATCATCAGCTGTGCAGACTGTGCTGTATCAGTCTCGGCTCATAATAAAGAGCATATTTATTGACATATCCGTCATCCATCTGTGTTTTCATAAAGATGGCATGTCAGGGACTAGCGAAGGGGGAAACCATCCACACGCTGAAAACGGAGTCTGAGACTTTGAAAGCCAAACTAGAAGAGGAGAGAGCTAAACTACACGACGTCGAACGTGAGTAAAACACTCAGCGGCTGTGTGTCAAAACCCAGCGAGCTGCCTAGCTAGACTGCATGCATGCACATCACAGCCAATGCGCGGGATGCCCAAATATGCCGTATATTTAGGCAGCTCGATTTGAAATACACCAATATCTGCCAAACACCAGCTAAATGTTCGACATGAATGCATTTCTTCTATGTCCATATGATCTGTCCATACACTAATGTGGACGGTTTAATATAATGCGAGAACCAGGATATAAATCTTTACGTAGAGATTTAAATGTAAATATAACCTTTACATTTGGTAACGTTTGAGATATTCAGAATTGTTTTTTAAAAAAAAGGGCATGGATTTTTGGAACTTTTGCCCTGTCTTTTAGAAGTTTGTGGTAGAATTTAGTGCAAAGTCATGAAAAAAAATGTATTATAGGATTCCATACAATTGACTAAGTCTGCATTAAAGAAAGTGGTTGTATTTATACACATTAACTGTTATAGTTTCCTGCAGTACTGTGCTGGCACTCAACATGGTTTTTTTTAACCACTGGATATATGGTTGTTTTGTCATGTTTGGAGTTGACTGTCTGTGTTTTATATGCTATGTTTATGTCTGTGCATATTTACAGTAAATGGCTGTTCATAACAGCCTTTTGAGATAGTATGACGCTGGCAAATATTTTAAAGACCTGATTATGTTTCAGTTGTACACTATTATAAACATTCTGTTTAAAACTCCTTGATACGACAAAACTGAAAAATTTTAAAATATTGAAAAATATATCTCTGAATTGATTAGTGGTAGTATATGTCTTTACTTGGAATATTTTTGCACTGATTAGGGGAAAGAAAAAAAAATCAATATAAAGGTACAAGTTCTCAACTAAGTAGAAAACAAATAATCATAGCGATGATGATTTCAAATGAGCAAATTCAAAGTATGTGCTTTTCTGGCAAACTCAACCCATGGCATCATGCTCTGCCAGTTGAACTACAGGAACACTCAATATGATCCCCATGTTTGTCCAGGTGACATTTTTCAGGAACAAAGGGTTATTGGCCTGTATTCATAAAATTACAGTATGATGTTATTGTTTAACTAAGATTTCTGGGGACTGATTTGTTTTGTTTCTGTCACAAAAGTTTAAAATAAGGAACTACGATGTGGATTGAATTTATAAAGGATGTGAGAATATATTATAACACATTTTATGAATGTCATCTGTACACCAAGACAACAATACTCACCATACAAAATGCAACAATGGTGATAATACTATTTTTAGATTAAAATGAAAAAAACTAAACAATGCATCAGTGTAATTTATTCATGCGGCAATGCATGCTGGATGCCATCAAAGTACAATTTTACTATTGAAATAGAGGATGATGTTGTTTGCTGATGCTAAGATGAGTTTTAGGAAATGTGCTGCTTCAGGTGGCGATGTGGTTAATGGAGATTTGTTTTTCTGACTTTAGTGCATCAAGTGGCAGAGAAGATAGAGGCTCTGGGTCAATTTGTCATGAAGACTAGGAGAACCCTAAAAGGACATGGAAATAAAGTGCTGTGCATGGACTGGTGCCGGGACAAGAGAAGAATCGTCAGCTCCTCTCAGGTAACAGGACATATCATCACAGTACTTAACCACTGTTTGAATGTGTACATTTACATTACATTTAGTCATTTAGCAGATGCTTTTATTCAAAGCGACTTACAAATGAGGACAATGGAAGCAATCAAAATCAACAAAAGAGCAGAGCAATGATACACAAGTGCTATAACAATTCTCAGTTAGTTTAGTGCAGTACACATAACAATTTTTTTAAATTATATAATAAATAAAAAGAAAACAGATAGAATAGAAAAAGAATAGAGCAAGTTAGTTTTAGAGGCCTTTTTTGCTTTTGTTAATTGTATAATAAATAAAAAGTAAAGAAATAGATAGAATACAAAAAGAATAGAGAAGCTAGTGTTAGTTTTTTTAGTTAGTAAATGAATAGAGTGCAAGTCTAAAAGGGGCCAGTTTTTTTTTTTTAAGAATAGAATTAGAATAGAGAGTGTAATAGAGAGCGATTAAAGATAATAAAGGTGGAAGAGATGTGTTTTAGCCGATTCTTAAATGGCTAAGGATTCAGCTGCTCGGATTGAGTTGGGAAGGTCATTCCACCAGGAGGGAACATTTAATTTAACAGTCTGTGAAAGTGATTTTGTGCCTATTTGGGATGGCACAATAAAGCGACGTTCCCTTGCAGAACGCAAGCTTCTAGAGGGCATATAAGTGAAGTAATGAATTTAGGTAAAGAGGTACAGAGCCAGTGGTGGCAATTTTGTAGGCAAACATCAATGCCTTGAATTTCATGCGAGCAGCTATTGGTAGCCAGTGCAAATTGATAAACAGAGGTGTGACGTGCATTCTTTTTGGCTCATTAAAAATTAATCTTGCTGCTGTATTCTGGATTAATTGTAAAGGTTTGATAGCACTGCACATGCACAAGCAGCTATCATCGGATCATCAGGATGGAATGAGAGGTAGAGTTGAGCATCAGCATAGCAGTGATATGAAAAGCCATGTTTCTGAATGACAGAGCCTAGTGATGCCATGTAGACAGAGAAGAGATGTGGTCCAAGAACTGAGCCCTGAGGCACCCCAGTAGTTAGATGTTGCGACTTGGACACCTCACCTCTCCAAGATACCATGAAGGACCTGTCTGAGAGGTAAGACTCAAACCACTGGAGTGTAGTTCCTGAGATGCCCTTTGCCAATAGGGTTGACAGGAGGATCTGGTGATTAACCGTGTCAAAAGCAGCGGACAGATCCAGCAAGAAAAGTATTGAAGATTTGGAATCCACGAATGTAGACAGATATATATATATATATATATATATATATATATATATATATATATA